CCCCAAAACCCCAAAACCCCAAAACCCCAAAACCCCAAAAATTCTGTTTACAATTGAAACATCTTTAAACAAGAGATTTGTGAGTAAATCCCTTGAGATCACTAGCCAGTCTCCTCTTGGTCGTGACTCTAACGAAGGGATTGTCATTGGAGATATCCCTGTTGTTATTCTGAATGCCTTTCATGTCCTTAATCACCCTGTCACGAGCATTTGGCAGCAATTTACCTGCATTTTTGCCTACATTAGTCTTCAGGTTGGACAACTCGAGGATACCTTTGTGGTCATGAACCTTCATCTTAGAGATACTATTGGAGTTCTTCATCTTAGGTAAGGCGTCAGAGATAGGCTTCAGGTTGTACTCCTCCTTAATAGTTTTGTTTATGTCAGCAGGTCTTCTGATTCGTTTGGACATCGGCTCCTTACTAACTCTGAGGTACCTATACAACCAATTTGAGAATCCACTTACGACTGGTGAGTAGGTGATGGAGCAATCTTGTGGAAATCACCTGAGTTAAAGCTATTACTCCCCTTCTTGAGGTCGTGATGTAAGTCGTGCCGTGATCTATTCGTCATTATTGGCTTGGACTTTGGAGCTATCTCATCATAAGCACTGAAGTCTTCCAACTTCCTTCCCATTTTCCGTTTCGAAAAGGAAGGCAGAACAGAATGTTCAAATTCTTTTGACGAATGTAACAGATTTTCCTGTTTTCTTCCTTTGACTTCTGAGAAATTTTGCATTTTTCTTTTACTTGCCAAGTCCTGAGTTGGGCTGGCTTCCATCCTCGGGCGAGTGTTAAGTTTGTAGTATCCTATCAATTGAATGAGATACAGGGAAAGTAACCAAAACTGGTGAGTTATTACACAGACACATTTGTGGCTAAACCAGTCACAAAATTGACTGCTAGTAGCTATCCTCTGTACTAAGACTTACCTTGTTCCAAAGAATTTTTTAAACCCAAGTGAAGATTCTCCTGAGTTGACCGGTTATGGTTTTCGAAATTATTCAATATCCTTTGTAGCCTCCTGGACTTTTCAGCATGATTTTCTTTTAAAAAGCTGACGGGCTTCGGCAAATTTATATTGACTTTAACCTCCTCTCCTGTAATCGGATTTGTCTGACAAGTATTAGTTGTCAAACCTGACTTCCTTAAAGCAGCATTGTTGTTGGAGTAATAATGCGAATTAGGCTTCTTCTTGCCAATTATGTCCTCAACCATGTTAGTCTGTCTCCTGGTCCTAGGAGCGATAGTCTTCTTGGGCTTGCCGCCCTCTATCTCGCCATAGACTTGGACATGCCTGCGACTTTCCGTCAGCCGTACATAGCGAGGGTTGAGCGGATCCTTTGGTACCATAAGCTGTTGCTTAATCTTTTGCGGAGACTTAATCGCTATATCGCTGATATCAAGCTTGAAATCTTTATGCTTAGACTTGTACTGTATAAAGTTAGGCTTAGAGACGACTCCGTCTATATCCTTGATGTTCATGTAGTCCCTGCCGGTGATGCCTCTGAGCTTGGAATTTAATGAATTAGGTAAGCTCTCCTTAATATCACCATTATTTATAAGTAATCGTGCATTTTTGGCATTTTCTGGTTTTGATTAGGGAACATCATCATGTGCATCCGATCGTTGTATCTCTGAAGCATGCTAGCCTCGTTTGCGAAGGAAGGGTTTGGGTTCTGGCTCATTAGAAACTTATTAAAAGAATTTTGGGAAATTTATTTTATTTCAATTATTTAGGGTTTTTATGGGGTTTTGGGGTTTTGGGGTTTTGGGGTTTTGGGG